AGCAGCGGCAGCGAACCACCGAGTCCTCGCTCCCTGGGCTCTCGAGGCCAAAAAGAGGGAGAAGGGCTGTTGCTACAGCTTATTTAGAGCAGAATTACTTCAAGCAACTGAAAAAGCCTTAAACAATAACACAACATGGAAGAAGCCAAAGAACTAGACAAAAGTTTACCCTGAGCAGCAGCGAGGCAGCAGCAGCAGCCAGCAGTGGCAGGCACTGCATCCGCATCAGTAGGAAAGGGCGGGAAGCTATGGGTGTTTATGTCTCCTTGTGTACTCATATTTGTAATGCAGCAAACGCTTTAATTATATTTGTTCCTACTGCTTCTGCCGCACGCCTGTGGGGCCCTCTTAAGCTGCCGTTGCTGGTGCCTGTGGTGCCCCTCCCTTTTTTGCTCCTGGCGCCATTCGACAGTGGCATTAACAGCAATAGCAGTAGCAGTGGCATCAGTAGTATCAGGAGTAGCAGGAGTACCAGCAGGAGCAGCGTGAACAGCAGAAGATGCCTTTGTCGCAGGCTTGAAGATCGCCTCCACTGCTTAGCATGGGGCCCCGCCGCCTCCTCCGCCTTTTCGTGGGCCCCCCAGCCCGTGCCCTGGGGACACTTATAGCTTTACACCTATACCCTGTGGGAGCCCACACCTGGCGGGATCCCTCGGAGGGGGCAGCCGTTTCGCTGGAGGCGCCCCAGCTCTCAGCAGCCGAAGCAGGTGCTGCTTCCAGTGCTTCTGCTGCTTTGCGCGCAGCGCAGGAGGTTCCTACTGGCGCTGTCACTGGCGGAGAGCCGAGTAGAGGGGAATCGGTGTCCTCATCATCTGCAGAGGCAGCAGGCGGTAATGCTGCAGAAGCTGATGCGGGTTCCTCCGGGGAGGAGGATGGCGATAGCGAGTGGATGGTGCGGTGGGCGGACGAGGAGGGCAAAGAACTGCTAGAGGTGTTTACGTTCGTTTCAGATGAGCCGAAGAGCTCGGAGGAAATGTTACCTCGCGCAACTTCCACTTTAGCCGTGGCAGCTGCTGCCGCCGCAGCACCTCCAGCAATAGCGCAAACTGCACGCTTTATATCTCTACCTCCACGCCCAGCTCGGGGTATCCTAGTGGGCGCTCCCCCGGGGCCCCAGAGCATCAACTGGGAGAAGCTGTTTGCCATATGGGACAACGACGAGGACCACTGGACCCCTGGGGGACCGGCTGTTGGTCTTTTATCTGATTTTCAGGAGCTGAAAAAGGCATTGCCTCCGAAGTACATATATGGAGTAGTCCTGCTGGCACTGCTAGCTTCGGTCCTCTCGAACCCCATAGCAGCAGCGAAGAACGCAAAGATAGCAGCAAAGAGGCGGGAGGTCGCGGGGGCCAAACGGGAGGCGCAGGCGATTGCCGAGCGTATCCAGCAGCTGAAGGAAGATGTGCAAACAGCAGCAGCAGAAACAAAGGCTCTAGCAGCGAGACTGGTCGAGCGCAAGGTATGCCTTGACTCGATGCTGGACCTCAGGGCGGGTGTCCATCAGAATCTTCAGGGGTCACTGGGGGCGACCGCAGAAAGGGCCACCTCTAGAGGCTCGTGGTCCCCGACGGGGGGATCTTGGGCTTGTTCGGGCTCGAAACATGGGTTAGAGGAGACCCAGAAGGCTCCCTCAACCATCAGATTTGGGCCAGACTGGGGCCTCTTGTCAAATCCTATTGAATTCAGACTAAAGATGGCCCGGGAATGGGGGGACTGTCAGTCATTTGTGTCTCTTGAGCTGTCGCGAGTGGTGAAAGCGCTGGCGGCAGAAGTGGAATGGCCAGCAGGGGCTCCGGATAAGGAGGCAAAGGCAACTGCTGCTGCAGGAGCAGATGCAGCGCCTGCAGCAGCAGGGGCTGGCGCGGGGCAGCTCCAGGGGGAGCCTCTGTGCACATCAGAGAGCGCGGAAGAGATTCGCCGCTTCCTCTCATCGGCCCGGTCTCTGCTGCAGTCTCTGAGCATCAGCAGCAACAGCGGCAGCAGCGAGGGCTCGGCTTCGGTTGTGCCAACGGTACGTCGAGGCAAGCAGTTGCTTTTGTACGGTCTGCTGCTACAGCAACAGCAGGAGCTGGAGCGGGAGTTGCAGAGGCAGCAAGTCCAGCGCAAGCTGCTTTCAAGCGGCCTTTCCTTCGACCGAACCAACCTAGCGCAGCACCGGCAACGCATGCAGACGAGCATCAGCATGTACTTGAAGGCAGCCAGGGATGCGATGACTCTGGAGCTTGACGGGGATATCTCTTCCGACGCAATTACTATTGTGGAGCAGCAGGCCAAGAGCATCAACCTCGAGGTTCTCAACCAACTAGCAGAGGCTCTGCACCACCCTTCCAATAGCAACGCCCCAGATAAGCTGGTAGACCCTGTTGCACATGCACTGCAGCACATAGCGGAGGCCCTTCCTTCCACTGTGGCTCTGGAGGCCCGACTGGGGGCCATCCTGGCGGAGGTGCGGGGGTCGGAGTCCCCTGAACAGCAACTGGCGGCCAGCGAGTTGACGGACGCCTCAGGGCGCATTAGAACAAAAAGAGAACAAATGATCAAAGTGCTCAAAGAGGCGCTGGCAGACTTTGCTGCTGCTGCTATTGATGCTGCAGTGCAGCAGCAGAAGACGAAAATGTTCGCCGACGCAGCAGCAAGCGCAGCGGAGACACTCAGCTCCGTCAGGATGCTAGTGGCGAAGGCCAGGAAGGAGGCCCTTCAAACATAGACGCTGACTGCCGACGCTCACTGCTGTCTGTGCTGCCGCAGAAAGGCTAGGCAAGGAAGCAGCTGGGGTTCGCACAGATGGCGCGGCTGCAGACAGTGCATTAATAGTAACTAGCAGCCGCACCCGCCGCAATGGCTGCAGTGGCAGCAGCTCCAGCAGCCACAAATGGACGCTGGGGCACTTAATTTTCCAGGATCATTTTCAGCTTGCGCGCGCAAAGGCTTCCCCTTTGGGTTCCTCCCGGGCCTCTAGCCCTAAATCCCAAATTTGGGCTTCTCGTTAGTTTCACGCTGAGGCCCAGACGGTGCCTGTGGTGTTGTCGCCAGACAGCTAGCTGGCAGACGGCAAGAGGTGGAGATGGAGAGGCAGAAGAGAAATGATATATGCAAAGACAGGGTTTGCGTCTGCGTCTTGGCGTGAAACCATCTGTGGTTTCCGTCGCACTGCACCGTGCGTGCAGTGCCCTGCAGGGTTTGGCCCTGATGCAGCTGTGGCTGCGCTGGTACAGCAGTCTACTTTCGGTGCTGCGGCCGTTGCAGCTGCGACTGCAGGCCTTTCGATCCATTTTATATCAATCCATACAATCATTATTGGCAGTGGTAATTCTTTTCGCTGTGCGCGTTGCTGTCGGCACTTGAAGACATCAGGTACACTTGTCTTAAAAGGACAGACGGTCACTTTGTAGGCGGAAGTTTTCATTTTAGTCACTGCTTATACTTTGCATTTTGCGCTCCGCATGGCAGGGATAGGGTGGCGCTTCTCCCGTGGACGGCTATGCTAATCTAAGGGTCTTGTAGTGAGTGCTTTCCATGCAGTTGCTGTTCCCATTGAGGCGTTTCAGCAGCAAGCAGTGAAGAGCGCGAATGATGGTGCAGTTGATGGAAGGGGACACAGAGCCGCCTGGTGCAGTTTGGGGTGCAACGACGGACGCACACTTGGTGCATAGATTCATATAAATATTTGAAAGTTTAACGTTTGAAGTCTGCCTCGCTGTGCTTGGCGTGCACATGCACCGTGCATTGTGCAGTGGAGCACGCATGGGAAACAGGATTAAAGGAGACGCGATACGAACACTTCTTTCTAGGGTTTATTCTGGGCATATAGTCGATTCCGAAGCAGCTTCTACTGGCGGAGCTTAGGCTGTAATGTATAGACCCGATCACTCCTTGGGTAGGGTAGAGCAGCGAAGCCAACCGCGCAGGATGAGTTATTCCTGTGCATGCTGCTACATTTTATGTTGTATTCAGAATTTGCAACGGACTAACAGCTTTAGGGCAACGTTTTGGGGACAGCGTGAAGCGTTCCTGGACCTTTCGTGTACCTGCTGCTCTTTTGCGTGTTGCATTTACACAATTTGTAACAAATTTAGTCTCCTATGTTGATATATTACGAGAGGTTGCCCGTCCTTTGGGACTTTGGTTAGTTTAGCAGCGCCTGCCTGAGCAGCAATCGGGACTGCGCGATCACGCCGGCATTAGTGCACTTATAGCTGCAATAACTAACAAATTGAGCCTATAATAGATTTTATAGTATTGTGTTAGGCTTATTTTTGAAGCGGCAGTGAGTTAGAAGAAAAACGCTCTGAACGGAACACAGCAGTGAGCCTAGGACAAGCTTCTCTTATATCCGTCGCGGAAGCTTCAACGATATGGAGGTCGTGAATGCCTTAACGTCATCTTATGGGGCAAGTAATTGATTCATTGAAAAATGAGACTTTTTGTAACAACGTTTCACTGAAATGGTTCTTGGGCAAGCAGATGAAGAGGCCTCTGCTTCACTATTGTTCTGTTGTACTCTGCCGAAGGTCACTCGGGCTCCATCTGGTATGTTATCTTCCCGCATCTCCCCTTCAGTTTTTCAGATTTTCCTCTCAGCAATATAAGAATTCTTATTTAGATCACCGAGAAAAACCTTTCAGGGCATTGCAACAGCCCTTTCCCCTGAATTCTCGGCAGGTTTAATGCTTTAAAATGGCTTCGCTTGAGCCTAGGCCCGTTGCACCCCTTGTAATAATCCCAGTGGCGGAGTTGCTGCCGCAGACGGAGGCACTCAAGGCTCTTTTGCAGAGGCGGCGGGAACAGGCAAGACCCATGCTCCCTAATCTTTTCCCGGTCTTTATTGCTCATCGAAACTAGAGCGTTGTCTTACAGCCGCACGCGAAATCAATTTCACAGACAGAAAAAATGCAGCGTGAAAAGATAGCGGTCCCGAAGACTACGTAGGACAGGTTGAATCGTTGGTGCAACTGCAGCCGTGGCTGCATTTCTGGATGCTTGCACAAGCTTTTCCCATTATGCCTCTGCCTTGCTGCTTCCAGGAGCTGCAGCAGCAACAAGAAGCTGGAGAGCGTCTGCAAGATGAGCGCATTCGCTCTTTGGCTTTAAAACGGCAGGATGAATATTTAAGGAGAAGCAAAATGCAGAAAAAATTAATGCAGGATGCTCAGGAGCAACAACGCAAACAGGAAGAAGGGAGGTCCAGAAAGGACACTAACTTTACGGCGCTGCTGAGGCTAGCGAGGAGCTCCAGCAGCAGCAGCAGCAGTACTGGCGCTGAGGCAGAAGAGGAAGCCTATATCCCTTCCTCATTGTCTTTTGGGTCCCTCGGTCTCAGCCCTGTACAGATACGCATGTTATTAAGAGATGTTCTGAGAGACAACGAGACAATTGAAGAATTAGGTGGGGTTTTCCATCTGTGGCTCGTTAGTTTTTCCCGAGCTTAGTCATAAAAATGAGGGCGTACTTACTCACAAGAACTTGAGTCCCTCTATTCCTAGTGCCCCCGTCTCTGCCAGTATGCTACTTCCCATCGTAGTTTTTATTTTTCCTTCTGCTCACCTAAAGCAACCTCACGTCCCCGCACTCTAAATCCAAAAGCCAAGTCACACTCAAGCTATCCTCCTAGCTTTACATAAACCCCTGAACCCATGATCTTTTGAACTTGGGCTTGGATCCATCTTTCATGGCGAAATGTTTAGCCATGAAACATAGAGTGTAGGGCCTGGCGTCTCGGACCCAGAGCCGACGGAGTGCTGTTCAGCATTTTAGCATCTGTGCTGCAGACTTAAGTCGAGTCTCCTTAACAGATGATGACGGGCCTGGCGTTTGCAGTTCTTTGGCTTTAATGAAAAATTTGAAAAAAGTTTCACTAGAAGGAAATTACTTGGGCTATACAACGGCTGTTGCACTCAGGAAATGCATTGAGGTACATTCTGCTGCTGGGGCGGCTGCTGTGGCTCTGGCTATTCTTGCTGTCTGCTAAGGTTTCTGTGAATGCTGCTGTGACTGTAGCTACTGTGGCTACCACAGCTTCTATTGGTGCTGCGCTTGCTGTTGCTGCCTTGGCCGGTGCCGTTAGTTTCGCCCCTGCGTCAGGCGTTGCTGCTTATTACAGGGGCCACAGCTCACTCCTATGGTGCTGATCAAAATAATTTCCTTCAGTAGCTACACCTGTACGACCGGGAGCAATGGCAAGCACCAATACTTGCTGCAGCAGTAGTAGTAGCAGCGGCAGTAGTAAATAACAGAATTCGGAGTCTAGCATGTAGGAACTGCAGTGGTGCGCGGGCACAGTTCCTGCACTCCGGCCATCTGCAAGCAGTGGACTATTTGACAAGGCCTATAGGACAAGCCCGCAGACAAAGGTCCCGACAGGAGAAGGAACTGCGCCACTGCTGCAACTGCCGGCGTAGCCGTTTCTGTCGCTACAGTTGCAGTTTACGGCCATTCACGTCGTAACCGCCTCCGCTGTCACTTCTGCTGCGACTGCCTTCATTTCTGCGGCTATAGGCCACATCAGCATTAGAGTATTTGAATTTGGGGGGTTGCCGACTAGGAGGGGCTCAGGGCCTCGAAGAAATCTGCAAAGCTCTTCGACAAAACAAATCGCTCAAGTTCTTGTCGCTTAGAGGCATGCAGATTGACAAAGTAGGCCATTGGAGCTTCGGTTCAAAGCTTAAGGCTCGTGTTCGTGATAACGAACGAGCTGCATTGAGATCGCTGCTTCTGCTATCGCAGCAGCTTTGTCCCATAACAACGCAGCGGCAACCCATAACGCGCTATGGTCAGTCTTTTAAGAAGATTGGCACGGCGCATGGGCCTACGGGATAGGGTTAAGGGGTTGGGTGCCGGGTCTTAGAGTTAAGGGTTTGAAGGTGCTCGGGACTTCTCCAGGCTGGAGGAGACTTGCTGCTGGAGAGTCTTCGCAACAACATTACTTTGGAGTGCCTCGACATCAGTGACAATGACATTAGTAAGGCGAATAGACACAGCAAAATTGTTATTTTGCCGTTTAGCTAGCTAGAGACGTATATAGCTGTTTAGCTAGGTGAGCGCAAACTGTTGCACTAACTGCAACGGCAGCACCACCAGCAGTGACGAGAAGAGGAGCAGCAGTGACAGAAGAACCGGAAACATTTATTCGTACCGCATTGACGCCATGGGCTGCTGTTGCTCTTTTCGATAGCACTGGAGTGCTTAGTTTAACTACTGCTGCTGCCAGTGTCACTGGTGTTCTTGCTCCGCCTCCTGCTTTGGGTGTTCATCGTAGTCTCTGTATAACTTTGTATTCTAATAGAGGTGCTGGTGCTGCTCTGTCCGCCTTTGGTGCCGTTGTGCCTTCCTTTGCTTCTGCTTTTTTTACCTTTGCTGTCGCTGTGCCTGCTGAAGAGCTGCTTCATGTTTGCTGCTACTGCTTGTGTTACTTCCGGCAATGCAGCTGCCGAGCAGCATCGTCGTTTGAGTTCACTGGTTGCTGCCAATCATCGTTGCTGTGAAAGCGTGAGGGACAGAGAGGCAATAGAAAAGAGATTAATGGCAGCAGAAGAAGCCAACAGCAAAGCGCGAGAAATGGAGATTGAAGCATTCAGGTGTGATGGGCGTCTTCGTCTCCCTGCCTGTTTTCGTCTCTTTTGGCCCCCTCTTTCGTATTTGCCTTGAAAGGCCTCCTTCTGCCTCAGCTTGTCTTTTTCTTCATTTCTCTAGCCCTCTTTTGTTCCTAGTTGGCTTTCTGGGTCATGCTTCCTTCCTTTCCTCCTGCATTTTCTCGCCCTCGGACACAGTTGTCTGTGTTCTTTTGTGTTCGTTTTTCCGCCCTGTGATTGCCCGCTTTAGCTTCTGCTTCCTCCCCTACTCTACTCACTTCGTTGCCAATTTTTTCTCCGTACACTTTGCTCGTCTGCATTTCTTCGCTGGTCTCCTTGTTTTGTTACCTGCGCCTTTATGAGTCGGCATCTGTACTTGTTTCTGAACTTACCTGCCTATTTCTCCTGTTTGCTATATCCCTTCTTTTGTATTTTTCCCTCGCATTTTTGCCTCAGCCTGTCTCTGTATCTACCTCTGTCCGGCTGGTAGTACTGTCCATGCGGCTTGGTAGCCATCTAGCATCAGTATCAAACGAGAGTCTTTGGAATTGTGTCTGCATTCAGGCTGGCAGTGGAGGGCAGCGAGAGTCGTGCTATTGCCAGAGAGGCGGTGAGCACTTGAACACCATGGCTAGCGACAAAGCAGCTATAGCTGGGGAGCAAATTTAGATAGCTAGATTGGCTTCAAAAAAAGATAAGCGAGGTTAACGCTAGTCCTAATAAGTGGAGTGGACTCACAGTTAATTAACGAGCTACGGGGCTAGAAACGTGAGCACCCTGGCCAGCTAGCTTGCCAGGTAAAGAGCTAGCATGCGTCAATCGTTCTCACGCGCGCTTGTCTATCTTCGTGTGTCTTCTCCTTTGTTGCTAAGTTCAAGGCGTTTAAACATTGTAATACTAACATACTTCTTTCCCCAGTTAATGCGTAGCGAACCACTTTGCTAATGCATTCAGTTCTTGCCAATGAAACAGACTGAAAATATTTTAATATTAGAGATTTACATCCTAGGCCATTAGCTGTCCATTCTCCATAGGTAAGTGACTAGATGGCTATATGAATCGTCAATGCTTTGGGTCTTACTAATTAGAAAGATATACGGTTATCCGCTTTCAATGCCACTTAGGACGCCTTTGAGGATTGGAGGAGACGGTTCGTACAGGAAGATGAACAGCACAAACAAACAGTCAAAGCCTTGCAGCAGGTACACAATCCTACAGGTCGATTCTTCCCTTTCATTGCACTTTGGCTTGCTCCAGCTCTTCTTTTGGTTCTTTCACCCCGCTTGGCTGCTCCATGTTCTGTCCCTGCGCTTGTCCTTCTATCCCTCATCTTCATTGATGGCGCCTCCTCCGTCTCCTGGCCACGTATCGCTCTCATTGTTGCCTTCGCTGTAACCGCTGCTGCTGCCGTCGCTGTTGGTTCAGGCTTACGAAGATCGCAAGGTCATGGCACAGAGGCGCAGAGCAGGGAAAAAGAAAAAGAAAATTAGACCTTGACCTTGACGGCGCCCTACAAGCCCTGCCCTACCACATCTGGAACTTATTACTGCTAAAGCCACCACTGCTACTCTAACCTATGAAACGCACGGCTGCGGCGAACACCTAAAAACCTAGCCAGATATCTAAACCCGTGACGGTAAATCAGAAGTCCTAGATCGCTGAAACATAATCGCTTGAACGCAAACTTCGAACCTTCGGCGCTCACTATTTCAGTCACGACAAAGAAGCCACAGCGGCGGCCTGAGCAATCTGGGGGCAGCAAAAGTCTCTGCTGATGCTGCTGCTTTTGCTGCTGCCTCTGGAGTCGCTGTTGCCGGCCTCCTAACTACGGCTAAACTTCACCGCTAAACCATACACATGAATATCTGGCAGTAGCAGCTCTTCACTGCTGCCGCGACTGCTGTAGCGACACTGCTGCTGTGGCAGCAGTATCGCTGCAGCAACAAAACCGCAGCAGCTTGTGAGAAATATAAATGCAAAAGCTGGCAGTAGGAATCAAAAAGCAATGCTGCTGCTGCTGAATCAGCTGAAGCGAAAAGACAGCTCATCGCGTACTGAATATATTTGCACTAAAGTACTTCAAAACTACTGCTGCTGTTTGATGCTGCAGCAGTCAACAACGGTGAGGGTGTTCTTCGCTTCTAGTTTCAGTTGTTGTGAGGCTCCTTCGCTTGCTGCAGTCGCTGTTCTTCTTGATGCTGCTCCAGCTGCATCAGCTGTTGCTGCTGAATGCGGTGCTGCTTTTGTTGTTGTTGTCGTTGCTCCGCCTGTACCCTTCGCGACAGATATTTTGCCAAGTATGAGTTGTCCGTACAGTCCAGATTAAATGCGTCCTGGAGCAACTGGGCCAGCTCCTGTTTGCCAACATATGAAAAATTAACCAACTGACCAACTCGTGACACCCCTGCGCCTGCCCATCTATTCATCTATTTGTTTGTTTACCGACAATCAATCCCATAACCAGAAGACCAACTGCCCAGCCATACAAAACTACGACTGCTGTCTTAGGTGTTGATACTGGTTCAAAGTCACGGAGAAACAGGCCAGTAACACGTAGAGCGAACAAGCATGCACGCAGGCGACTGGACAGCTAAACTAATAAGACATCAACATTTCAGTCAAGAGCGAGAAACGTACCTTATCATGTAAGCCCTTATCTCCTACCGCTGTGGTTGCTGACACATCTCTTCCTACATAAATGGGACGCTCGATTCTGTTTGGGCAGCCCAAATGACGGAGGCAAGACTCAATGCGCTTGCTGGTGTAAGACCAAGCACCTGCACGCAAATAAACAGATAGGCTACTAAATTATTCGTTGGGAAAACACTTATCTTGAGTACCTACTTCATGGGCTTTACGCTGATTCGTTGCTAAGTGATATACGAGGACTACGGTGCAAAACGTTAACTTTCAGATGCTGGCCCAACACCATGAAGCAACAGAGTAAGAGAAGAACAACTAGTGAAGCCAAATAGCGCCACACAAATCAGTTTGCCTTGCTGACAAACTGACCATTAATTCGTGACTGGAGTAGAGCTGATCAAGTAGCAAAATTCGATTATGCATTGGCCTCACCCTGGTTCATCGGCTCCTCCTGAGCCCAAACAACTGTTCTTAAATTCGGATAAATTTGGAGGTCCCGAATGGCCAAGTCGAAGGGGAAGGGAGAGAGCTGCTCTACACGAGCTAAAGCCACCTTGTTCCCTAAACAAATACATAAAAAACGTAAAAGTAGGAATGAACAAGTATGAATTGACCCCTGAACAATAGCACAAGAAAACACGACCGTCAGGGGCCGAGACAAGCACGACGAAATCCACGCTGAATACAAAGAAAGCAAAAACCAATAACATATAAGCATACATGCAGTAAATATCAACGAAATTGGTAGGGACGCAACTACAGCAACACATATGAAGGCAATAGCTGCCCTGGCAACACAGCACAGAACGCCACAGCAGCAAGAGCAAAAGCCCCAGCGGCAATAGTCTGCCTGACCTGGATTATCTGACGTCCCATATTCACTTCTAATTCTGTCTCTTTCCGCATGGAGGTCGTAATAGATCTGGCCGCAGCACAAAATAAGCCGCTCGATCTTGGAAGGGTCAGTGATGGAATCATCAGGTATGTATCTGTGACGCAAGGCAGGAACAACACAGGAACATTGCACATATGGTGACAAACATAGGCAACAACATAAACACTGAAAGTATAAACAGCGCTATTAGCTCCAAAAGCCCCCCCTGCCCCGTCTTCCCCTTCTGCATGTGTTGTTTGTGACACGCAGCAGCACGCGAACAACGGAGACACGTGCAAACGGGGAAGACAGTGAAGGAGGCAAAATGGGCCTTTGTAATCGCCTCCATGTAGCTTCATACCGGGCGTGCTTTGACGCGGTTATCCTCTCTGCACGTCTCTTCGCTGCCTTTCTGTATGACTTACCGCTCTTCGCTAGTCCATCGCGTACTGCCACTGAATGAGTTCACTCCGTTACTCACCTAGTAAGTATGATTTGTACGTATATGAACATATGTACTCTGCTCCCAGTTTCCTGTTGCAAGCGTGTCGAGTTAACTACTCGAACCCTCACCTTTTGAAGCGAGTCCCCTCCATGATATCTCTGAGGGGGCTCATTGCCTGCCTCAGTCTAAGCATTCTCTTGGGCGAAAATACAACTAGAGGCTTTCGGAAAGCACGGTGGACTTGACGTCGAAGTACGTGGAATGTGTTCGAGGGCACGGTTGGGACGACAACCTACACACAAGGAAATTGCAGAAAAGATGAAAGAGCAATCAGATAGGCCAAACTTCCATCCGCTTAAGAAGTACAAGTGGAGACACGGGAGCAAAACGAAGGTAGGTAGATTAAATAAATCGGCATAAACAATGACCAGTTATCCCGCAACCAAAAGGCCAAACTTTTCGAGCCAAATTGAAGAATAAACAAAAATAAGGAATGGGAAACTATGAGAGTGGGCAAAAGCACTAAGTGGCGCACTCCACGGTGCCGGTCGAAATGCGTGTATCTGACCTGTATGTTATGCTGCTGAATGACAGACGACCTCGACAATTCCCAATTTTCTTCATGAATCACATCCTCTCTGTCGTCGCATAGCTGAAGGAAACGCTCGATGCGCCCAGAAGAGTGCTCGGGGCCCTGACCATCGTAGCCGTGGGGAAGGAGCAACACCAAACCTAAAAGCAGAAACAGCAAAATCGGGGAAAACTGGTGATGCAAGCGGAGTGAGACAGCTTCTTTCGGGTTTACCCATCTATATGACTGCAGTCAATTTAGTGCCCGTCACCTACCCATCTACCAATCATTTACTCAATCATCTACACATGCTGAGATCTATTTTGCGATTTATCATCAGTGCTGTATGCACCGTTTTGTCTGTTCCATTTGACCTCAGCAGAGGCCACGAACTGATCCGTGATGATCTGAGCGCCGTTGCTGAAGTCGCCAAACTGTGCCTCCCAAATGGTGAGAGTGTCGGGGTGCTCCATCGAGTAACCAAACTCATAACCCATGGCTGAGGAGACATAGTGAAGGAATGGTACTTGGGACACTAGGCGACTGGGGAGCACTTAACAATATAATAATGGTAGGTTGACGAAAAATAGGCCACGCAGCACTTCTCCATATGGGCTGCTAGGCTTCGGTCCGCAAAATACAGATGTACTAGTGCATCTGGAACGGCTCAATGAAGGGAAGAGGAAAGTGGCAGCCAAAAGAGACAAGACACGGCGAGCGCCATAAGGGATAGACGAGAACCATAGAGCAACTCAAAAAACCAGGAAAGCGACGTGCGAGCAGGAGGACTTGAGTAAAAAAAAATAAAAACAAAGGGAAGCATGAGGCATTGACAGACCGGTAAAAAAAATTGAACGAAACGAAACAAAAAAAGGAAACGCAGCCAGTCAAAAACAGACACAAGAAGACAAAACAGAGCGAGGCCAATCACAGGCCGCGGAGCCGCTTCCCCTGTGGCATCCTTACCTGCGTACTCTGACAGGAGTGAGTTGCAGATGGTAATCGTGTGGGGCAGATTGAGGTCCTTTAGAGAATCGAATATGCAGTATTGAGCTTCCACTGCTTGATCGTGCAATACAGCGTGGCGGTGAGAAAAAGTACCACGCTGAGCGTCCTGGCCAGCCAGACGAATCTGAAATGAACGGAACAACAGGCGACTTGACATCCGATGCTGGAATGCACAAGTAATGAGGGTCACAAAAACAGATACGCTAAATACACAGGACAAACGTACAGATGGATGAATAAATGCAAGGCATTAACTGCAACAGAAACGGAAGCAGGATTTCATTGGCAGACCAACACTAAAGAAAAAGAGAGGCATTGGCCTGACTCTCTACCGCACCCCAATCGAGAATAGAAATGCCAAGCAAAAAACATTAACTGGACAAATGTACAGGCAACTAACTAATAAAAGAGCAAACAAGCTAAGTAAAGGTACCAGACCAACATGAAGCACATCGCTGCACAGAGCATGGGCGAAGCCTCCCATCGTCCCCACATCAAGCAGCGCAAAGAGATGAGTTGAGCAGCCAATCAGTAAAAACATCGAGTGAACAACAACTAAACTGCTACTTCACTATAAGATACACTAAACGGCAAACTTACATGAAACCCATCGCTTAGCAGCGAAGCATAGGCTAAGTTTTCCGCAGCCCCGAAATCAAGAGTCTTCTCATCTTCATTGCCTTCAACAGCCGCTAGTCTCTGCTTCTTTATTTTCGCGATTGTCGCGTGAGGTACAAAACCTTCAGGGATGGTAAAGATGCGGCGGCCCAATTCCCGAAGCGCAGAGAGGCGGACGCCTGTGATGAACGCAACAGCTAATGCAGAAGTCGAGTCAATGAAACGTCAGATCGTTCCCTTACTTGCTCAATGTTTCGATCATTTGAACATTCAACCGCTGCCTCTGTCTGCCAGCGAAGTCGTCCGCAGGGTCCGACAGGAATGAACCAAAAGGGAAT